GCCTCCTCTATGTGTCCATCTCCATCTCGACCTCCACCTCTTCCATTGGCATAGCATCTTCTCCAGCCACAACAGCCCCTTCTCCAACCACAGCATCTCCTTCCCCAGCCACATCAGCCCCTTCAGTAACAACAGGTGATCCCCTGACAAGCTACAAATCATCCATCTCTGGAACAAACATGCATTGTTGAACATTTGGGAACTCCTCAAGCTCCTACAGCTTGTCATGGTTCGAATGCTCGATTTCCAGAGAAAGCCTGTAAACGCCCGCACATTCCTCCTCTTCTTCCATGGCAAAGTAGAAACCCTAAATTAAAGCAAGCCAATAAATCCTAAATTCACAGTCCTATTACTAATTCGACCATTAAGATTCACTCCAAAAATTAGGTTCTAAGTTGTTTTAGTGAAGAAACTGAGAGATAAAACAAATAGAGTGAATGAGCTTTCAAACAAAGAAGGGAAATAAAAGGAAACTTGTCAGTTAAGAATAATCGCTGGTGAAGAACAATAGCAGAAAAGTGGAAATTATTCTCCAACTATGGCACCATTACAAGTGTTAGAGTTTTGTTCTAGAAATGAATAATAAAAAGCGTGAATGAGATATTGCTCGAATAAGGGTAATTTTGGTATTTTAAATGATGCCTTGATGATTAGTCAGGGGTAATTTTGTAAATTTAAATGGTTTCCGTCTCAACCAGTGATGAATGGGAGGCTTTTGTTGAATTTTTCAAAAGTTTTGTGGAGATAGTGTTAAAATGAATCTATAGGTAAGGTTTTTATGATTGTTAGAAACTTCAGGGGAGTTTTTTTGTATTTGATCATATTTCTAAACCTGTATTTGCACTCTTTCCAAACTTAGTCTTGACCACAACACGATGGTGAGAAGATTATGACAATCATGTAGCTTTCTCCTGTACTAATTTCTGTGAAGTTGAAACTTAAAATAAACTAATGTTGTGTTTCATTGCAATGCAAATCTTAACCCAGTGCAAAATTTGTACCTGATTTAATTCTACCCAATCACGATGCTAGAGATACTCCCGTAGCCAATCACGATGCTTGAGCACCTTATTTTTCTACTAAAGCATCAACAGCAAAATCTATGCTAAAAAATTTACTGATCACGTATAAACAACTTTAAGTAACGTTTAAGGGATCTACTCTTCAACCCAAATGGCCAATTGCCCAAAAAGCTGACTGGGGGAAGCTGGGCTAAAAGATGTATTAGCTCCACCCATCAAAGGGCCACTGCATGACTTTGAGTGAGGTCCGTGCATGGTGCCTAGGTGCTCCACCTTAAGAGGTCCTTAATTGATTTCTGCATATATACATAGCTTTTCATTTGACAGAATAAAGTAAAACCCATTATCACATATATTCACTGCCTGCCTTGAATGGATATTATAGAAGATTAGAATATAAGCTTTGCTTCTTTCAAATGGCATAAGTTTTCTTTTTATTTTATTCTTCCTTACATGCTACTGCCTTACATTGAATCAGTGTTTTATTTCTGGGATTTGGTTTTCATTAGCAGAAAACAGAAGCTTATCATCAATCAATAAAAATGAAAAGGAAATCTTGTAAGCAAAAGAAAAGCAGATCTCCCTTAACACTTTAGTCAGAATTCATGTATACAGAGATATGTAACTTTTTAATGTCAAACTGCCTTGTCTTCTAGAAGACACTTGGAAAGGTTCGGGTATATGCTTGCAAAAATTTGAGATATATGGGTTTGACTAGAATTTGATTCTATGCTGAAATCAATACAATTATACAAAGCAGAGAGACTGTAAGAGTAGGTTTGCTCTCATCATTCTGGGATAGAAGCTAAGTCTATTGTTCTTGATCAAGTGGGTTCCAAAAAGTGCTTAGAAATTAAGGAAAGAAGCTAGTCCAGGTTCATGATCAAGTACTCCAAAAGATTGGAAGGAAGAACAAAGAGAAATTACTTATTCGACTTTATTCTCTGAACACCCCCCCCCCCCCTCAACACCCTAAATACATTATTTGTTACTTTTTAGTTTTTTGAGCTTTCTCTTATGAACATCAGACTGTGTGAGTGGTTCTTTTGAACTCCATGGCCTAGCTAGAATGGAGATGCGTGGTATCCCCTTTCCCTTTGCCGCAAAATATGACTTGGACTGGTTGTAGACCTGCGAATGATGAGGGAAATTCTGGGAAAAGGACTGGTCTATGGTTCCCATGTGGTGGACAAACAACTACAACTCCTTTACATTATTTAGGGAACTTGATCGATGAGGAATCTGTGTTCTCATCATCATCATCTCTCTCTCTAGCTCTGGCAGCGATACACATAGCTGAAAGCTCTGTACTTGAGAAAAACAACAAAATCTGATAAAAAAGAAAATCACGACTTCACGAGAACTGAATAAACAGAGACGACACAAGCCAAAATGCATCTAATCTGCACGGAAGGGGGGCTCGATTGAGATGCTTTGAATTCATGGAGTATCAATACCCCGGGAGAAAATTTGGCTGTCCGAATACCTCTATTTATACGACACGTTCGTCCATATGCAAGGGCACATTTTATGTCCATGATGACGAAAAGGTATGATACCCGAAGGAGCTTTTGACTAATTGCAGCACCCCTTTCCCTTTTCAATTTTGATGAATACCAGCTTATTGATTATGAGTTAATTAGTTATTAAGTATAAGTATTTGACAAGAAATGTTGGGTGTAATTCACTTTTTTAATCCCTAAGTTAAGTTAAATTTTATTAATCATTATTAAAAAGAAAAAATAAATAAAAAAACACGATAAATATCAACCAAAGAAATAAAGGCCATTAACCTATACGTATACGTAAAACAGAGATTCTTAAGTAGTGTTCATGGAGCAATTGTTTATATTCTCTTAAAACACTATGACTCATCATTGACCTATACGTATACATCAATCGTCTTCCCCTTATATACAAGATTGACCCACGATCTTGTGATTTAAGTTTAAACTTTGGATTAAAGGTGGTGTCTACTTCTTGTACTAATAATTTATAACCGTTCCGAATATTCAATATGCAATATGCAAATACACATACATGTTTACCAGTAAACTTAAAAAGAAGTGATAATTTAAAGAGAGAGAGCCCACGTTTTCATATTGGGCCTTCAGTCATTTGAGTTGGGACTTGGGAGTGAAGAAAGAGCAGAGGACAACCTCTAGCCGTGTAGGCAAGTAGGCAGTGTACCTGCAAAGGCAAGAGCCAAGAATGACCCAAACACGGTGGAATAAGAAGTGGCTGCTCCGTCAGATATGTAAAAGGAGGGACGGTTTCACGTGTCCCTAGGGATGAGGGCCCATTAATAGATGGGCCCCACCAAAATGCCCAAGTTTGACACGACAGATTGTTGAGATAAGAATCTCACACAAAAAGAGGTTCCCTTCCTTTTTTACCAAAAAAGAATTAAAACAGAATTCAATTTATGCCACTGCCAGCACCGGAACCGGAGGGGCACGGCCCAAGGCCCATCGGAAATTAGTCCGCATATGCGGATGATCCCTCTCCCTTTTGGACCGAATATGTGCTATTTGAGGTTTTGCACTGTGCATGGGCTCGGATTGTCAAACTGAACATGAGCAACCAAGCCCAGTAGTCCAGTACCTCCTTTTTCTGGGCTTCTCCACAAATCTGCATAATCTAACGTGGACTGCCCCACCACCGTGTGAAGGATGAGTAGCCCCACAGAGCAATATCCGACGGTGGGCATTTTCTGTACAGCGTTCCCCAAAGCAACATTCTCATCACTAATTATGAGTGTATGACGCACCTGGCCACCACCTCCACGCCTCTGACTAGTCCGAAAGGGCGTTTTCATTACGTACATCAGATTGGAATAAAATCTGCCTCAGCCTCGGTGCGGTGCTGCGACCAATCCCATCTCATGTCAATTCAGACAATCCAACGGTTGGTGTTTGTGTATCCTCAGTCATGCAATATGCATACGACACGTGAGAAACATGTGCTCACTGCTCACACAGTCACACGCCTTCTTCAGGCTTCATCAGATCAGATCAGAAAGAAAGGGAGAAACTTTTTCATGATTTTACCACTGAGGAGATGAGTGAGGAGGACACGTGTATGTCGCACGAGTACCTTCTATGGTTCTACGGCCATTACGCGTCCGACGAGATACCAGATCGATGCCTCCTTCTTCCTTTACGTTGGTCGGACAAGCCATATCAAATCGCGGGTCCCATTAATCATTATTGGCCGTTGGATTATATGATTAGTAGACAGTACCGAACTATTCATTTATTTGCTCAGGCTCCGTTTGGAAGGAGTACAAATGCATGCAGGGAGGAAAATCTTATATTTTGTATTATTTTGTATCTATTTATATATATTGTATATATTTGTATTTGCATTTATATAAATAAAAAATCTATGTAAATTTTATATCGATTTGTTTTGAGGCGTTTGCAAAGAGGGTCTAATTATTATCCATGTAAAACTTTATTTCAGTTCAATTTTACATGGAGTGGAATTTTATATGTTAATCGATATAAACTTTAAAATTTCATATAAAAGCAACAATCATTTCTTTCTTTCACTCATTCCAAACTTTACATTATTTTACATATAAAAATTACATGATTTTATAGATGCCGAACTTTACATTATTTCACTTATCACTATTTTCAAAACAGCAACAATTGTAAAACGTCATCAGTATAAAATCAATATATTTTTAGGCTGATGACGTTTTACATTCATTCCAAACGCACCCTAAACTTTAAGATGACAATAACGTAACGCTGCCTCAATTTATCGAGTACTGTACCGAAAAAACTCCCGAGAAGCCGAGAAATCCTCCATATCCTTATCTTTTCTTTTCTCGTTTTAGTTTTTCTTTCTCAAAATACGAAAAAAATCCTATTTAATAAAACAGGAATCTAATCGTACATGTCAAATCCAACTGTAGATCTGATCCTGAACCCCTATTTCTGAGTTTCTCTGCATCTACAAAATGCCCTCATACTCTCCTACCTTTCATTCGCTTTGCTTCCTCCCTCCTCTCTCTCTCTCCCTGTTTCTCAGCTTCAGCTTCCACCACCACCACCACCACCACCGGAATAAGAACAGATAACCATGTTTACATCTTCAGAGCTTCCAGATTGTTATTATCAAAATAAACCCACCTTTGTTTGCCCGGAGAGCCCCACCCCCAGACATTCACTCTATCTCTCTAACCTCGACGACCAGAAGTTTCTGAGATTCTCTATTAAGTATGTATATGCTTATAAGAAATCTGTAAGCTCGGAGAGCTTGAAATCTTCACTTTCAAGGGTTCTCGTCGACTACTATCCATTAGCAGGGAGGTTGAGAATTAGCACGGAAGATCAAGACAAGTTTGAGATTGACTGCAATGGAGAAGGTGCTGTGTTCGCAGAAGCTTTCATGGATTTTACAGTGGATGAGTTTCTTGAAGCTTCAAGAGCACCTAACAGGTCTTGGAGAAAGCTCCTTTACAGAGTCGATGGTCAGAGTTTCTTAGATATCCCTCCTCTTGTCATTCAGGTGAGCCTTTCTTCTGTTACTTCTGCGGCATATTTATCGTTTTCTTCTGTATTTTCCATTGTTGAATTCTGAACTTATATTCTTCCAAACCCAAGCTTTGATTTTCGTTCATGTGCTTTTAATCTTACGTATTTGCTACTTTTTGCAGTGCTTCTGTTCTTTTCAGAGTTTATACTTAATTGGTTTCGGTTAGAGTTTCGTTACCCTGATTCTTTCCTTCTTTTTGAAGCTCTGCAACAAAACACTGAATTCTAAGATGAGATCCGATTGCAGGCATTAATTACTCGGTTTCTTGTTTCTTTTCTGTTAACTAAAATCTCTTTCTTCTGGGAAAAAGAAAAACCGAATGCAGAATGCAAAACGACTGAGCTCACTCACGGCTCACAGCGATACCAGTGCGGTCGGGTCATGGTCCGTCGTTGGACCTCTAGTTTCTACATACCAGAGGAATGTTACATTGAATGAAAATTAGGATACAAACATAGCGAAAGAATCCCCAATTTCTTCTTTCGGGTCACCGATTTATCCATTTTGCTTTCCCAACAAACAACAAGGAGGTAAATCCTCTGATCTTTCTAGAAATAGATCATATGCGTGCCACCTTTATAAAAGCTTATTTTTCTATTTCCGTCCATCATATATCGTTGCGGGTCCCGTAGATGACCCGATCCAATCCGACTTGCTCTCTGGGCCCAAAATTCCCCTGTTAAAGTTTTTGGATGCTGATCAATGATCACATGATCACATCGCATTTTTCCCCCTTTCGAGTTTCGGATCACTGACTGCTGCCACTTTTCCAACTCGACCCATCACCTTGTCCAACAATTACGGAAGGCGATACGAGTAAATGGAGTTTTGGACATTTCAGACAGATGACGCATTAACTCAATTACTTATTATTTTACTTTAACTCTAAGATCGTGTTTGGCATTCTTCCAGAAAATTAATTTTGATAAATTTTCTGATTCTAAGGAAAATTGCTGAAAGTAATTATTATTATTATTATTATTATTATTATTATTTTATCAAAATTCATTTGGAGAATTAATTCTTTTGAGCTAAAAAATGTAGTAAAAAAAATAATCATTTTTTGTCTCAAAACGCATTTTTAAAACCATGATTCTTTGAAACAAAATTTTAACCAAACATAGCCTCGGAATCTGATTTTCCTAAAATTCCTTTTTCATCATTTTTTTCCCAATTGCTTTCAATTTCAATTTCAAGAAGCAGGACAAAAGAGAAGTAGATGGCAATAAGCCTACAATCCTGCCTGTTCTTTTCAACGGGAGCAGCTGGTGTTCCCTACTTCCCTGAATGACGAAAATACCCCTCGCTTTCCTTCTCAGTTCTGAATTCTTGTCTCTGAATTGGAATTTTTTTACCCTTGTGCAGGTAACGAGGCTTCGTTGCGGAGGGATGATCTTGTGCACCGCAATCAATCACTGTCTGTGCGACGGCATCGGCACTGCTCAGTTCCTGCACGACTGGACCCACCATACCACCAAACCCAACACCCATCTCCCCATTGCACCGTTTCACGGTCGCCACTTGTTGAAACCCCGGATCCCTCGGAAAGTAGCATTCGGCCATCCGGAATTTACCAACAGTGCCCCCCGGGACAAAATTACTCATGTGGACCTCATGCACATTCTGCACTCTCAGCCCCTCGTCCCCACTTGCTTAACCTTCACCCCATCCCATATCCTTCACCTCAAGAGGCGCTGCGTCCCCTCCCTAAAGTGCACCTCCTTCGAAGCCCTCGCGTCGCACACGTGGCGCTGCTGGATAAGATCTCTCAACCCTCCACCCTCTCTGAAGATCAAGCTCCTCTTCTCCGTGAACGTGAGGAAAAGATTTAGCCCAGAGTTGCCGCAGGGGTACTACGGCAACGGATTCGTGCTAGGGTGCGCGGAGACCACGGTTAAGGAGCTGCTTGGTGGTAACTTACACCACGGGGTGAAACTGGTGCAGGAGGCAAGGGCATCTCTGACCGACGGCTACGTAAGGTCAATGGTGGATCTTTTGGAGGAACGGCGAGCGAAGCCCGACCTGTCGGCGAGTTTGGTCATCTCTCAGTGGTCTAGATTAGGTTTAGAAGAGTTGGATTTCGGAGAAGGGAAGCCGCTGCACATGGGTCCTCTGGCGAGTGAAATATATTGCCTATTTTTGCCGGTCATCGGCGACGTAAACAGTGTTAGGGTTTTGGTGTCTGTTCCGGAGAGTGTCGTAGAGAAGTTTGAATACTACATGAAATACCCAACAGCAGAGAGAAAGAGAGAAGCGAGGGAAGAAGGAAAGGAGAATGGAGAAGTAATTGTCTTTAGTCTGAATTCAGAAACATCAACTTTGTAAGGAGTAGCAAGGACTAGTTTGTGTACTGTGTACGTGGCTTTTTTCGGTCCGCCTTCTTTTCTTTTGATTTCTTTCTTTCTTATTTTCTCTTTCTCGTCATTTCTTTATCTTTTTCCCACACAAAAAACTTTCTCGGCCAACGAAATGAAATAGTGAAATCACATCACTTCGTGTTTGATGGGTCTGGTGGTTACCGGTTTGAGGTAGACATGTTCACGGGTCGGGATTAGTTTAGAGCATGTCCGGTCCTGAGCCCGAACCCGACCTGAGCATCGGGCCTAGACCTTAGCCCATGCCCAGCCTTCGTATAAGGCTCGAAATTGTCAGGCTTGGTGTTTTGGGTTCGAATCTAAATTCATGTTTAAGCCCAACTAAAAACTGGTGTTTTGGGCCCGAATCTCAACATGCGTACCTAAAGTTCATGTTCAAGCTCAACTAAAGAATAGACAGGCCGGACCATCGGGCTATCCAACCTATGACCAAGTCAACACGCACATGGGACGATGGGACCGGTTTGAAACCGATAAAACCGGCTCGAACCAGAAAAAAAAAATCTATAGAATTAGGATTTAATGATAATAACGTACGTGCGATAATATGTTGGGAGTAGAAGAATGCAATAATTTGGGGGTGATGTGTGATAGTTGATAGATAAAGGATTGATAAGACCTGAGATGCAATAATTTGGGTGGGTTGTGGTTGATGTGATGGTCAGACGTGATAAGCCTCTCACATTTTTACACCTTTTTAGTGCTTTGATTTGTAATTTTATAGATGCAGTGACGTGAGCATCTGTACTCTGTGTGTCTAGACGTTTTTGGATGTCCTTATCTCTTTGTCACAGTGATAATTTATAGTGTTTGGGTATCCTCTCCATTTACCTTACAGCCCCATCCCACTCTGCATTGGGAGCATTTTCGGAGTTAAATAGTAATTAATTCCTCCACCGTCTCTATCTTGATCAATAGATATTCTTTCTCTAAGATTATTAACCCATTTTGCAGAATGGGAAGTTGTTGATTGTCTTCTCTCTTACCGGCTGTTAAGGTCCTACTCTTTCGTTTGTCATTGTAAAATAGTAATTAATTCCAATGCCAATTGCTAGTATCATTTTTGATGTAGCGTGATCCGGTCATTCCTATTTGGCATTTACATGACTTCTGAAAGGTATCTGAGATGAAGAAGAAGAAGAATCCCCGGGGAGTTTACTTGGTGGGGATATTCCGATGCTTAAGTTAATACTCTGTAGGAGAAGCAAAAAAAGAGACGAAGGCTAAGAGTGCAGATAGCGTGTTCTCACTATACTCAAGAGATTAGGGGTTTCAAAAAAAAGTTTCTCTTCTGCCCTGAGGGCTTTTATAGGGACACTCACGTCAAGTCGGGCATAACCGCCACTGGGCTCCTGCCACAGCCGTTACCTGCTAGGGCTGCGCAGGTGGCCGTTGTGGCGTACGTCTCGCCCGGGTGAGTGACACGTTTCCAAAGTAGTAGGCACGCCTTTGCCTGCTGAGAGACGTGGACGCAGACTGCCGAAAGGACTGGGACTGTGCCGTCAGTAAGGGATATGGCGCAGTCTGACCGGTACGTTCTGTCAGCCAGAAGCTTCCTGAGGAGTGCTCGTGCGGCTCATTCGCGAGCTATTTTGTAGCGAGCTTGGAACACTCCAGGATTACCCTTAGTGGAGGGGCTAATAACTTTAGCTCACGAGCTAAAGTTGCCTCGGAGTATCTCTTCAAAGGTAGCTCGGGGAGCCCAGGGCTCGCGTTGCGGCGAACTTCTCCTTTCGTGAGCTACAATGTAGCGAGCTGCTTCATAGGCCTGTCACTTGGTCGTACCAGGCTACAACGCTGAGCTGTCGCTTGTACTGAGTCAGTGTCCATATATCACCGTTTCATAGGTTAGATCAAATTGTCCTCCGTCAATTTCCAAAGCCAATATACTATTGTTTCATGATTTCTTCTTCCTAATTAAAACCTAATTAGAAATTAATAACTAGACAAATAGATGATCAAACTTCTAAGTGGCTAGATTACAAAGAATTCCATAGAAAGGGTCAGGTCAATGAGGGCCTCCACCATTTCCTTTTGTCTAATTATCATGGTTGAGAGCCACTTGACCCAACAACAACTATCAAGGAAATTAGAGGTCCATGCCACTAAAAAGTAAGAATGATGGTAACAGTTGTTGGTTTCTATGATAATTAATAAAATAAACAAACAGTGATCAATGATAGGTAAGCTTATAAAAGATAAACCACCTTTTCAATTTATTGAATATTTTTTTCTTTTGGGGATGGGGAGCCATTATGATTTTGGAGCTCACTGTGGCTTTTTTTTAAAAAGGAGAAAAAGAAGGAATGCTCCTTTTCATGATGGATATTAAGAAATTATAAAACTTTTAAAATTTTATGAAAGTTGGGGGACGTGGCTTTGTTATCTGCTGTAGAAAGAGGATTTCCTCCTTTTTAGAACAGAAAGAAGTTTTTTTATTTAAAAAAATGCCATAGACAATATGATTTGCTTTTATTTTGGAAAACAAAATCATACAAGTTGGCCAACACCCCACAAATTCTATTATCGTTTGAAGAAGTTTTTTGTATCATTAATTATGTGTTTTTTACTAATGAAGGGCTGTCCTACAACATGAATGCTTTTAATTTTCATTTTTTTGAAATTGCCACATCAGAAAAAAAGCAAAAAGAAAATTCATGTACTGTGTTTTTTTCTGAAAAAAAAATATTTGTTTTGTTTCAAAAAAATGTTTTTGAAACCATCAAAATAATGGGTTTAAAAGTAAAAATAAACTTTAAAATATAAAAATTATATAATCCATACAAATATAACCTATTCTTGATATTAAATAACCAGATGAAAACATATTCTTTAATCCAGAAATTCCAAAACTATGTTTTAGGTTTTAATACCGGAAAACAAAAAAACACATATAATCAAGAACATGGTTTTTTTGTGTGTGCTTTTTCGTTTTAAGAATTGATTTATTTTCAAACCGATAACATGAAAAACCATTCACATTGGAGAACACCCCTCCCGAAAGTTTAAGAGTTGTTTTAAAATAAGATGGAAATCCATTCTTTGTATTAGAATGTAAGGGAAAATCTATCCTGTTAGAAAGACATGATACGGGAAGGGTTTTGACTGGTCAAGCCCCATGTGAATTTTGATAAATACCACCTGATTGGTTACCACATTTATGATGCTGGTTCATCAGTTACAAGGTTTTACAGTATCATATATTTCTGGTATCATAGTCGAACCCAAGAATAAATGAAAACAGTGTTAATGTAGATGAAGAAACTGAAAAAAAAAGACTGTCAAAAAATCCATATCTATGTTATATAGAGGAAGGAGGGTAGGTGAGGGGTCCTCTTGCGTCACACAAGCCTAAAGCCTCCTTTTCCTCTCTTTTCTCACATATTAATATATTTATTTTCAAATTAAATCATTATATGACAAGGTTAAAACTCTCATGGTCCTTCATTGCCTCTCATAAAACCCATATTTACTCTCTAACAAGAACATTCTTAAATCTCTCTCTCTCTCTAGTTAATGTCTTTACAATCCTAGCTCCCTCACCCATTATATCCCTCTTTTCCTCTTAAATCTCTCTTCATCCCTTTTGGCTCTCTCTAATAAAGTAGGGGTAGTGTAATTAGATGGAATATTGGATTAGGTTAAGGGCCAAACTAAATATGAACCCTAGCTTTCACCCAAATTAATGTCAAAACCCAAAACATGCCCACTAGTGCATGGGGTGAACCAATTTTCTTCTTACATAAAAGTCTAGAGAAACCATGCATTTCTCCTTCACATGGGTTATTAAGTTTTTCTTGCGATCATTTATTATTAATTTAATGTATATATATGTGTGTGTGTGTGTGTTTCGTGGATTGTTCTGATTGGATAATAGAATACAATAAAAAGCATTTAAATAAGCCTTTGGTTATATTTGTCATTTCAATTTTGAAATTGTTTGTTTTTAACTTGGTTGTTGATCTCATGGTAAGCACATTTTTTGACTTTATAGGGCTACATAACCGAGAGGATGGGTGGCAGCAAGATTTGATCCCAAATCTCCACTACTACTAGCCAAAGAACCTATCAATAACTAAGCCACCATCAGTTGATTCTCATGTTAAGCATTTCATTTATATACTTCTTGATGCTCTACGAATTAACGCTCCCTGCCAGTGGACAGTTCGGACGTCGAATTGAGTAGGTCGCATGGTCGAACTGCAAGAAAATAGATATCAAAGTGTTTGAGTTGCTTGACCCAGGGTGGGCACTTCAATGCTTAAGTTAGCAAACTGGTATTTGATTGCAAGAATGCAAGAAAGCTAGAGTGCTTAGACAGTTAAATTGCATGTACCTTGTAAGGTTGAAGGAGAGGCCTTTATATAGGCAAGCTGTTGTGAGTCTCATGAAGTGCGTCCGAGATCTTTGGCCCATCTGGTTCAGAGGTGGTTTCACGCTTGGAGGTGGACTCCGCGTAAATGGGTAGTGTTTATCCAGTTGCACCCGAAGTGAGCGAGGTGATAACTAGCTCTTCTGACGTGGTGTCGTGATCCCAAGGAAGTAAGAGACGATAGTCCACTTAAGGAGGAGATTGCCCGGCACATCAGGCAGGTCGCTAACTGAAGTTGGGTGAAATTGGCGGAAGCAGATCGCCTCTTACACTGACCTGATGTCTTGCCAAATCGTTCACAGTTCGGCCTACCGAAGTGGTGTTGATGTCGGCAAGACGGGTGTGAGGTGTTTGAGGTGCTCCTGAGGTCTGCTTACAAGGCGCTAAGATGTTGCTTAGCTGTCATGAGATGCCACGTGTCATCACGTAATTGGTGAGCCAAATCACCCCTCATCAATTGCCCTCACTTTTGAGTCAATGCTGGTTCGACGAAGGGAGTAACTCGTTGCCAATCTCCAGCCCGTGGTGACTCGTCCGATCAGTCCACAACTCACCTGACTTATCTGCCCAACACGACTCAAGGGCGGACTAGTGCGCACGACAAGTTAAAATTTTAAATTGAGCACGCAAATTTTAAAATTCAAATTCACCCGTGAGCAGCATAATCCTCTCAACTGTTGATCTTCTGCTGTGAAACTTCATCCATTGACTTTCCGTGCACACAGGGGTCCCATTCGTACTATTTTGAGTTTTCTT